AAAAGTAGGAAATGCGTGTAAATTTGTCTTGATTACTCGAATATCTTGATAACTCGAACGAAATATTTTGCGCCAACTTCGATAAGTCGAATTTTCTGGGGGAATCCCGTAATTACGGTCGATTTTAACCTATCTTTTTTAACGTATTTATGCAGGCAGTTCAGTTTCTGCGCTTGCTAAGTTCACTTGTTTGACTTACTAGTTGCTATTAACAATAAGTAAAAAATACTGTGCCTGTTTCATTTATATATTACGTTAAAGACATTTTTGCGTGTGTTAATATGTCATCAAACGTACTTTAAAAACATTGTCTGTTGATCAAAAATTTGAAAATTCGTTGAGTGTCTTGCGTTCCTATTTAAAAGCCAGTGAATATGCAACTCGTAGTACATACATATGTACATACTTATTATGTATGTAAAAATATGTTGATAGTACTGTTTCATAATCTTTGTTATTCCTTTGAAAAGTATAGATATTAAGGCACTTATGTAACATTTAACCAATTTTTACTGAAATACGTAAATACATAAATGTTCATTCGCAACGAAATACTAATTAAAGAAGTATTATTTGATAAGTCGAAGTTATTATGTGTCATATCGCAGTTCGAGTTATCGAAGTTCGACTGTATCTCAGGTTAATGAGGAGAAAAATTGTTGCTGTTGTCACACCCCCGCCGGGAATCGAACCCGGAGCCTTTGGCTTTACCTTTATATTACATGATTATAATACATGTCGTTTGTATGCATGTTCGATGATCATAACATTCAGAATGTAAATAAGGTGTGTTTGGTACCGTTAGTTTCAGCAGGCGTGTACAAGTGAGCATAACTTTACATTATTTTACTATTAACATCTGCGGCTGCATTAGTGATGGGCTCATTAATTCACCTTATGTAACGTTAGGCCTTTAATTGATGCACATTTTACAACAGATGTTCTAAGGTGCAGTCATAAACGGGTCGTAAATACGGGGATGGATCTGAAAGTTCACAGATGACGGATATTGACCTTAACGAATAAGCCAGTGGATTCCAACCTTTTTGTACCTGCGCCCCCCTTTAAAAAAAGAAATTGTTGCGCCCCCTTAATTTTTCTAACAATCTAATTTCATAAATACTCAACTGATATTATAATTTATTTAATGGGCTACAAAATAATATAAGTACTTTATTATGTAAAAATATNCAGATGACGGATATTGACCTTAACGAATAAGCCAGTGGATTCCAACCTTTTTGTACCTGCGCCCCCCTTTAAAAAAAGAAATTGTTGCGCCCCCTTAATTTTTCTAACAATCTAATTTCATAAATACTCAACTGATATTATAATTTATTTAATGGGCTACAAAATAATATAGGATATTATGTAAAAATGTACATAAAATGGATGGATGTTTTAGCATTTGTACCCGAGAAATTCGCGGCGAGGATTGTGGATTAAGTATACCTATTTTGCTGATTCATTTTTTTGACACCTATTCGACTTTTTGGTTTGTATTCGAAAATGATATTTTGGAAACAGCTGCATGCCCCCTTTGTAACAGTCCCGCGCTCTCCTAGGGGGGCGCGCCCCACAGGTGGGAAACCACTGGAATAAGGACTTGTTTAAAATTGTGGTTAATCTTTTCCCTGAATATGTAGAATACATACTATTTATGATGGAATATTTTGAAAATCAGTCACTTCTTCTAATTTTTCGTCTCCTATCGTTATATTCGCTCTTTCTCTAGTTTTTATTCCCTTGCAAACCAGTGACTGATTTTACGTATGTAGGAAGTCAGATAAGTCAGAAAGGAAGCAGTAGTAGGGATATAAAGCAGAGGATAGCACAGGGTCCAGTCGCCTTCAATAAAAAGAAGTCACTTCGATGCTCGCGAACGGTTAATTTAGAAATTCGAAAAGATTGTTAAAGGTGTATGTGTGGAGCGCGTCGTTGTACGGGTGCGAAACATGGACAGTGGGCGCGGCGGAAAAGAAAAGGTTAGAAGCATTCGAAATGTGGTGTTACAGCCGTACGATGGGGATACCGTGGATAGAGAAGGTTAGAAATGAAGAGGTATTAGAAAGAATAGGAGAACAGAAGACTCTATGGAAGTCAATATGAAATAGGCGAGATAGATTGGTAGGACACCTTCTCAGGAGTTAGGAGGAGTAGAGGTAGACCTAGATTAGATTACTGTTCACAAATAGTTAAGGATGTGGGATGTTCTAGTTTTAAGGAAATGCGAAGATTAGCTCAAGATAGGAAAGAGTTGAAGTGCGTGCCCAACCAGTCTTAGGACTGACGACATGATGATGATGATTTTGATAATCAACTTGCTCAATATTCTATAAAAAAACAAGAAAGTCGACCTTAGTCCGCACAAAAAATCATCACCAAGATTCATATTAACAATATATGTCACTAAAAGACGATAGGTACCAATTTTGACACCTATATCTCCACACTTATCTTCCTTTTATATCACATCTCCTAACTCTTAACCTACGTATAAGTTCTCTAAATATTATTTCCACCTATTTGCCTACTCTACTTCTCTAAAATTCCTTCTAATTATATTATAAGCCTCGTCCGTTTTACCTGCTACAAACTTCTGTTCTACTTCTTTACACCTCATATCAATCTACTGTTCGCAATTAGCTACCTTACACTTCCTAATTATTTCCCACTGTATCTCCTATCTTTTTTCGCCTTCGTCGTCTGACCTATTCTTGTATTTCTGCCTATTTTCTATTAGTCCTAAAATCTGGTTAGTTTTACCACGGGTTTCCTACTTTCGTTTTGTTTAAGACCTAATATATTTATAGCTGCAGAATCCAGGCACGTTTTAATGAAGTTAAACTCTGTCTCTACGTCCCTGTCATTCATTTTTCCCGCCTCCTTTAGTATTTCGTCTAACCTAACCTAACCTATCACGCGTTTGGTTGCATTTTACTTTTTCAAGTCAAGACGTCTCCTCCGTTCTATCTTCTTCGTAATTTTAAATTTAAGATTGGTCTTCACAGCTGGATAACTCCTACAGTCCTTCGCTTGATTTTTAAATATTTTCCTTACAAGAATATAATCTAACTAATATCTCTCTAAATCACCTGGCATATCTTCCACGTATAGCGCCTCCTAGCGTGATGTTCAATCAAATAAAGTATTCGCGACGCGATATTTACCGCTAAATTCTATCTGTCTATCTCCCCTATCATTCTTATTACCTAATCCAAAAGAACCTGTTATTGTACCTTCTTTACCTTCACCTACTACTGCGTTGATATCTCCTACAACTATTAGATTTGCATGCCCTTTCACTAAACTTAACACGTCTTCTACATCTGCAAACACCGCTTCTACGTCTTCATCATTGCAAGATAACGTAGGCACACAGACCTGCACTATTACAGTTCTTACCGGTTTCTAATTTTATTTAATCATAACTATTTCATTCGCTTTTATGCAGATGACTTTCTGCACTTCTTCCCGCTTTTTTGTAAAGTCGGTTTACTGACGATAATTGAACGTGACAACGTCATAAGAAAATACTGATGGAATGGTTTCATTTTTCAAAAGAAAATTTTAATTTTATTTGTTTGATAGATATTTTGTATGGATATAGAGAAGGAGGTAAATGTGAATGTATTATTGTATAGCAGCTGTCCACGCGGACGCATCGCTCACTCAAGTAGGAGAGAGACAGATGTCGAACGCTGACGAACGCGGAGGCCGATTGTGCCTCTTTGTCGCTCGTTCCGCGCTCTCGCTTGCACTTAAAGCCTTAAATGGAACGCCTCAGAGCGAGGTAACGCCGCATGAGTCATGTTTTTTCGTGCGTGTAGCCGGCTCCATCGAATTATAAGACGTTGTCACGTCAAAAAAATTAGTTATTTACGTTCGTCAATATTAATAAAAGATTAATTCCTTTGTTGCAGATGCAGAAAATCTGTGATAAGATGAAAACGATTCTTTTGTTATTACAAGTATTTCTTTTATTTGTAGATGGATCATACAACGATGGCACGTAAGTATTGTAGGATTTTCTTTCATTTTTGAGCTATTAATCAATTTTCAAATCTTTGATTTGTATTGTGTCGAAAACATGTCTTGCATGGGTAGTATTCACCCTCTGACAGTGAAAAATTTAGAAGAAATAAGAGTAATATTGTTCCATGGTTATTGCATTCGTTTTATTTAGTTTTATGTTAACCCATGGTGTCAAAATAGACGAATAAAACTAAAAGTGAGTGAAATTGCATAGCAATTTTTGCTAGACTAACTAAAAAAGTTCCTTTAACAATTATTTTATTCAGTTGATTATCGGTAATGTGTAATTATTGTCTCGTAAAATCCAAAACGCATCATAAGTTAATGGAAAGTGCAATCCATTGTAAATTCTAGTAAATTAATACATGTACTACAATTGCTTGAATGGCCTTGTAATTGTCAATTCGCTAAATATCGTAGCAACAATCGGCGATGACCTTTCGTTCTTTTTTTTGCAAAATTATTATTCTGCAACAGTCTTCAATTTACGAGGACGTGCGGTGTTTTTAAAACAACTGAGATACTTTCAATGACGTAAGCGAAATAAATTCCATAGACAGATTTAGTGTTAAAAATTAAAGTCAAATAGGAAGAACTTTAAAAATATGGCGCGGATGAGAGAAAATCCTAAATACTGTTCCCGTCCCCGCCGCGTCATTCTTCGTCTAGCTGTCGTAGAGTTAACGTTGTCATAGTCGTGGCGACCATCTTCAGTTTTTCCATAAGAAAATAGACTGCGTTTCGACCCTAAATGTACTCAAGTGACCCATATACCATTACGGTAGATTTTATTAGGACTTCTCAAAAGTTAGAGTTCTTTCTTTCAATATGAGTCACTGTTTACGTGAACATTCCTAATATGTAAACCAGGAACGTAGCCAAGGAGACAAGCTGAACCCGCCCTAAAAGATTTCTAAAGATTTCCAACCTTTCACCCTTAATTTCTGATCTGTACAGGGGCTGATGCCTTTGCTCTTCAAACGTCTGCCATTGCAAAAGGTACAATAGCCAAAGCTAAGTTGAGCATGTACCATATTCGCCAGATTTGGCTCCCAGCTATTATCCAAAACTTAAATAATCTTTACGTGGTAAAGAATTTTCATCAGAAAATATAGTTATGTACGAGGGCGGTTCAATAAGTACCCGTGTTAGAAATGAAGACACCTTTTTTTTTTAAATTTGTTTTTTTATTTTTCAACATAGTCCCCTTTTCGAAAGACACACTTCTCCCAACGACCCTGCCATTTTTTTCTACCCCTCCAAAAAATAAGATTTGTCGAACTCTCCAAAATCCCCCCTGTCTCGACGATGACTTCCTCGTTTGAGCTAAATTTCCTTCTCTCTAGTCATTTCTTCATGGTAGGAAGCAAGATGAAGTCGCAGGGAGTCAAATCGAGTGAGTACGGGGTGTGCGGCAGCAAATTCATAACGTAATTCATGCAGTTTGGCGGCAACAACTCCTGATGAATGTGCCGGTGCGTTATCGTGTTGAAAACGCACCTTCTTTTTCGTCAAATGCGTCCGTGTCTCCTTCAATTTTTTGTCGAAGCGGTCCAATAACTCACTGTAGTATTGTCCAGTGATCGTTCTTCCTTTTCCTAAAAAATCCGTAAAATGATTTCCTCGGTAACAACGTTTGCCAGGCTTCCTGGTCGCTCCTATCACAAACGGATCTTTGCCCACGTTTAAATTCGTTGAAGCAATATCTAACTGTGGTCGTAGATGGCGAAATGTCTCCATAAAAAGTATCCAACTCTGTTTTCATCTCCTCGCATTTTTTCCCATCCAAAAATAAAAAGCGAGTTACCGAACGATACTGCTCTTATTCCATCTTAACGAAAATAACGAAACACGTCTCAGTCGAATGACTGCCAAATCCAAACTAACCTATCAATCAGTCTGAAATTCGTTTTGGCGTGGTTTGAAAGATGGCAGCACACGATGACAACACCAATTTCCCTCAGAAACGTCCTCCGTCTTCAAACACGGGTACTTATTGAACCGCCCTCGTATACGATAAGTCAGTGGTTTTCAAGACTGAAGAATCTTTTTTCCGACAGACGTTATAGAAATGTTAGAACATTGATAGTAAAAATGTATTTACCTTAATTGACACTAGGTTGAAACAAAAATGTAAAGTACTTGTAAATTTGTTATTGTAAATAGGTCAGGGGCTGAGCAAAAGAATCAATTGTATTACGCAGTGTAATTAAAGAAAACCTTCTAATAGATTTTGCTAATCGGTTAGCATAAGTTTTCATTGATATCTTTTTTAGAAAACAATGGTCTTGGATATGTAACACGTCTAGAAAATGCGAAAAAGTTCCTAACGCTCCTGTTCATAAATATTTTTATAATAGACAAGGTAGGTAGCTACAAAATAATATGTTTTTCGAAATTGCCTTCTTCTTTATCTCTTAAAACAAACTGCACATTCGTTTTCTGTAAAACTAAATCACAAATTTGTTTTAAGTAGCTTTTAACTAAATATATTTTTGTTTATTTCATTTATTAATAATAAAATGTTAATCAAAAACATATCGTTTCGAATTTAATAATAAGAAGTTGCATTTGAAAAGAACCTTCTCATACTGGTTGAACCCGTTCAATTTTAAATATATTTATATAACACATTGCTTCTACTTTTAAAAATAATAAGACAGGTTATTAGGAATTAGAAGGGCATATGTATATAGTTAATTGTATTTTGTAGGATATTTACTTTTAATAAACAAGTCAATTGATTTTTATTAAAAGGGCAAACAACTAAAGTAATTTAAACTGAAAGATTCCAGGTTGTAGGATTTAGGGAATGTCTTCTTTGTTTTTAATAATGATGCAACGGAAGTGTCATAACGGAAACAGAAGTAAATAGTAAATTTTTACGGAAGTGGAAGCGGAAGTGTAATGATCTTTTTTGGCTTCAAAATTGCAATTTTAACGTAAAACTTACACTAAGCAAACACTACACAAAACAAATAAACACCATAACTGCGTTGGTTGGTTTAAGCCCTAAACTGTAATAAAGTTATTTGCAAAGGGTCAATATTATTATTAACAACATTTTACTGACTCTAACGCTACACATTGTTGCTAAAACTTCATAAACATAAACGGTTGATAACAATGTTACAGTGGGGTCGCTGTAGGTATCTGCCCAACAAGCAACGTTATAGCGAGCAATTCCATTTAAATTGTGTTTTGAAAACGTTCAAGTTCAGCCAACAAATAAAAGTAATAAATTTTTACGACTTGTTTTATTGTTCCGATATATTGATTTTAAGAAAGAAGATTTTGTAAAGTTCTGCTAAGTTTCCGTTATAAAAATGCGGAACCAAATGCATAAGCGGATGTGAAACTTCTGCATTTGCAGAAGCAAAAGCAGAGGTCTGTTGCAATCTAGGCAACCCACTATATACTTCTTTAGATTTCTTCTGGTCACAATATGATTTAATCGAAAATCGTAGGGTTGCGGTCGGTACAGTACCTACAGTACATTCAAGCAAGGTGAACGTAAGTCTAACCAATTTTGTGTACTACATACACTACATACTTTCTAGTCTTTTTGCCTAATTTAATATGAAACAGTATGAAAGCTAGAATTGATTAATTAGCCCACACGCAATCTCTCAATAATGTTACGTGCTCTGCACGATGTACGTCCTAATTCTGGATAATTTGTCATATTATTATGCACAAACATTTTCCTAATTTATTTTAATAACATTAACACGTTGTACATAATTTCTTATGGCTAGAAATACGTACACATGTAGATGTACTGTTCAACAATAAAAACTTTTTAGAGAAAGAACCCTTGTATTCTTTAGAAGCGTGCAGACTTATCTGTGGACAGTATGGAGCACTTTGGCCAAGGCCTACTAAGGATGTTGATCTCTCGCAGGACCTTATCAATATTAATCCAAGGTTAGAAAACATAAAAATAAAGAATCAAATCCGTTCAGAATAGAATTGAGTTTTTTTCCGAAAATGTAATTGTTTCTTAAGGGGGTTTTCAAGCATTACTTTACAATAATTTTTCTTCGTAGAATATTTTCTTCCATTAGGTATACTTCATTTACTTTCTCTGGCGATGTGCCCCTTCCAATGTCTTGGATACGCGCTGGCAAAATCGTAGGTAGGGAGAAAAAAGCTCATTATACCCTCAACTCTTGTTCATTAAACATACTTTTTCATACAGTACCTGCCAAAAGTTTTGTTCAGTTATGCATAGTAGTGCGAGTCGAAAACAAGCGTTAAAGCCTTTAATATGTCTTCAAATATAAATAAACATCTCGTTGATATTTTCAGTAGTAAATGGTACCAATAACAGCACATTTGAGCAATGCAATTGTAGCGGATAAAATGGTCAATTTTCCGTGCAGTACTGTACGGATTATACGCTTCTCACCGGATAAGAGTTTGGCCGCGAGTTGTCTCCTTCCTTTTCTGGCCTAGTGCTATTCTTTTCTACTTTGCGCCGGTCAAAGTGAAGGTCACATCGCTACAGAAAGTAAACGAAGTATATCTACAGAATTTGATTTAAACTTGACTTATCAGTTTCATATTTTAATAGAATTGTAATTTACTATAACTTATTGGAACTAATTGAATGGAAAATGTGTCCCTCAACCCTTTACCATATAACAACAATAATCCTTATTTCCACTCCAACAATTCAATAACCCCCTCATTTACGTACCATTCCATCGAAAATATTGTGATCTCAAGCATTTTTTTTGTAGTTCCATTTCGTTTCAAATGTTAAACGCAATAGACGAAGCTAGAGATTTTCTAATAGAAAACACACAACTATTTTTAAAAAATATATTTTTGGAATGTGGCAAGAATTGTTCAGCCGTAAACAACGGATTGGACGCTACCGTCTTCATTTCAATCAGTAACTCTAACATGGACCTTAACTGGTCCACAAACGAAAGTTACTCATTGGAAATATCAAAAGGTAAATACATGGGTCATATTAAATTATTATTTACCATAACATTTGTTTTTCTTTGGCCTCCTTTACAAGTTCAGTCAACTGTAATTTATGCTTAACGTTGCATTTTTACGTATGTTTTTTTCTGTTAGTCAACAACCTTCACTTGGTACAATAAAGGAAAACTAATCCATTAAGACCAAGCGCTTGGATTGCTTTATTGTATGTGTTAACGGAAATGTATGTCCCTAATCCGTCATTGTATACAATTCCTAGGAAATGTATATAATTCCTAAAATCGCCCAGAAATGTGTGAAATAAATTCTATTAGACACATTTCCTAGGAAATATATATATTTCCTAAATAGCAATCGGAAATGTATTACATTCAAGATGTCAATGACTACTGTATTGATAGATAACTCTGATTCTTAACTAACGTGTTTTACTCATTTTATTCACAGAAAGCATTCGTTTTATACATTTCCTAGTACAATATCGGAATTTCACACTATTCCTAGGAAATGTATACATTTCCCAGTATATGTGTGTATTAAAAAATATTTGAAAATATATTTTATACATTTCCTAAATAGTTTCGGAATTGTATACATTTCCTAGGAATTGTATACAATTTCTAGATTTCATACATTTCCGGTAACAAATGCATTTACTACGAACAACCATTACTACCATCAGTAATTTTATTAATAAATTAATTATAGAAGTAACATAATTTTGCAGAAAATTCACAAGCAGTAGATATCGTTTATAACAACGTTAAAATTTTGCCGTTATAACCGTTGATCGCTATATCCAAACCCCATAATATAATACATACTCAAAAATAACTTTTCTTAGTCACTAAGCCGAAATCGGAGATTCATACTTGTATACTTCAAAATAGACAAAAATTAGAGTTAAGTGTATAATAACGTAAAAGCATTTTCAAATATGGCAACTTCCGGTTACACCAGAAATGCACAGTAACTTATTTTAAATGGACCCCCTACGTTTTGTTGCATTTTTGAATTCTCTATAAAAAGCAATATCAGCTTATTATGATATTTTGAATGTGGGTCGCACCGTTCTGGAATTATTTCACGTTTCTTGGAAAATTTGGCGTTTGCAGTGTTTGGGGCCATTTTAAATATCTGAGAAAGGAAAGGATCCAGAGGTTTCCAGTTTTCATATTCCCTTTCCGGAAGAAACCGCCTATTATCTGTAGGTATTAGATAGATACGTACGTTATTAATTGATATTTATGAGTGTCAATATTCACAAATTCAAACAGGTATAACTTTTTTTTAACCGAATATCATATTAATTTTCGCATAGTATAATGCAAAATTAAATTTCCCTTCGACTGGTATTAGTATGTGTGACCAGTAGTTTTTAAGTCAGTCGTTACAACAGATAATTTGACCCCAATTTCGTCGCGTACCTTATATCCGATGACATTACAAATGACAGATATCACCTACAAAAATTATTAATGTGTGGCGCTTAGAAAGTTCGTCGCAATAACCGACATATCGTTGAAGCAGTTTCATTTATAAACGATATCTAGTTTATAATGTTTGTAAACATTAAAGTGAAGTGAATTTTCTCTCAAATTAATAAGAAAAAATTGTTGCTGTTGTCCCGCCCTCGCCGGGAATCGAACCCGTGTCCATGGCTTTACGCGGCAATTCTCTGACTCTGGCTAAGCTACGAGAGGTGACAACAACAACAACTAATTAATTACAAAATATACGCATTTATTTCTTTTCATTTCCTGACATATTTTTTTCTTTCAAATCTTATCAGCAGGCGGAGTCTATGTAACAATAACAGCCCCATCGGCTTTTGGGGCTAGACATGCCCTGGAGACACTTAGTCAATTGATCACTTCTTATAAAATACAAGAAAACGGTATTATACACCACCAATTTGTTATCGTTTCGAAAGCAGTGATAAAAGATAAGCCTCAGTATCCGTACAGAGGTTTACTATTAGACACCGCAAGAAATTTCCTATCAGTTCACACAATCAAACGTCAAATAAATGCAATGGCTTCATCGAAACTCAATGTCCTTCATTGGCATATCACTGATAGTCAAAGTTTTCCATTGGAATCCGTCAGAGTTCCGCAATTATCAAAGTAAGTGAAACTATTGTAAAATTATTAAAATATTGTGTTTACGTCATCGACATAGACTGTACGACCTAATCCAACAGCACATCAGATACATCTAATATAAAAAGTACAAAATATAAACCACTATTTAGCCTAATAGTAGGATGAACTAATTGTGGAGTACAAATAGGGAGCATACAGGAACATTAGAGGTAGGAGACTACACGGCTTGTTAACGTACAACAGAGGCTGTATAAGCGTCACTAAGTTGTTCTCGATGGTCCGTTGCGCTATAAAGCAGTGCGCATCTGACTTGCCGTGTAGACACACATGACGTCATTGTCAAGGACACACTTCCAATATTTTATAGCTCCACATTTTGAATTTTATTTCGTTCTATAATCGCTTACGACAGTCGATATTATTCAAAAATATAATTTCAGTAAAACGTGCAGTACAAAATTTATGAAACATGGTTAAATATAAATAATGATTAAATACAACAAATGGCTTTTAAATATTTCAATAACTTTTATTTTTAAATAAAGTAGTCATGACAAAGACTTACGAGAAGGTCGTCGAAACATAAATAGAATGTTTAAACAAAACATATTGAAGCATTTAAAAGCATTCTGTTGTATTTAATTTTGTTTATGAAAAATATGCTGTAAATGTGTGTTGTAGATATTCTTACCATTTAATAACAGTAAGTAAGTCATTATCAGGTCGTGGAAAAGCATTAGATACGCATGCAAATTGTTAAAATTCAAATGCACGGTTTTAAGTAGCACGTCCAAAGATATGGTACGAATTACCAATTCCAAAACTAACTAAAATTAAAATTAGAAATTTCTAGAAATATACTAAAATTCTATGTATACGAGGGTGGATTGATAAGTTTCCGGCCTGACCAAGAAAAACAAGGTTTTTAAAAATTTTTTTTTTTTATTTCTCAACATAATCTCCTCCAAGGCTGATACATTTCTCATAGCGGTGTTCCAGTCTATTAATGCCATCTCTATAGACTGATTCGTCAAGCTCCTCAAAATAACCATTTACAGCTTCGATTACTTCTTCATTGTCCGCAAATCTCTTACCGCCAAGCCATTTTTTGAGATTAGGGAACAGAAAATAGTCACTCGGGGCTAGGTCTGGAGAGTAAGGAGGGTGCGGCATCAATTCAAACTTTAGATCGTTGATTTTAGCCGTCGCAACGATTGACGTGTGCGCTGGTGCGTTATCGTGATGAAACAAGATTTTTTTCTTCGCCAGATGAGGTCGTTTAATTTTCACCTCGTGGCTCAAACGTTGCAATAAGTCTGCGTAGTATTGACCAGTGATAGTATTACCCTTTGCAAGGTAATCAATGTATATAATACCTCTTGCATCCCAAAAAACAGTAGCCATAACCTTGTTCGCCGAAAAAATTGTTTTTGCCTTCTTTGGAGTTGGTTCCCCTGGTCCAATCCACTGTTTAGACTGTTCTTTGGTTTCAGGAGTGTAGTGGTGGACCCACGTTTCGTCAACGGTTACGAATCGACGCAAAAATTCGCTTGGATTACGCTTATACAATGACAAATTTGCGGTAGAAATGTTTTTTCGAATCAATTTTTGGTCGACTGTTAGCAAACGCGGCACCCATCTTGCACAGAGCTTTTCCATATGCAAATGTTGGTGCAAAATATGTTGCACACGTTCATATGACATCTTACAGGTCTCAGCTATCTCACGCACTTTCAATCTGCGGTCTCCCAGCACTATTTGATGAATTTTTTCGATCATATCTGGAGTTGTGACCTCAACGGGGCGTCCTGAGCGAGGCCCATCAGAGGTGCTCACACGACCCTTTTTAAACTCGGAAACCCACTGCTTAACGGTTGAATATGACGGGGAGGATGTCCCCAGTGTTGAGTCCATCTCTTTTTTAATTTCCTTCGGCGTTAACCCCTTCAAATAAAAGTATTTGATGACAGCACGATTTTCCTGCTTTTCCATTTTTACGAAAACCACAGAGGCGTCTTGTTCAGCGTGCTGTCAAACCTACACTAGCAAGGAGATCGGGCTGAAACTATAGCTACAAGCTATCCAAGGATGGTACTATAGAATGTCACCTCAAGGTAGGCCTAGTGGCGTCATCTCTTGGTTAGGCCGGAAACTTATCAATCCACCCTCGTATTTGTAATCTCACCTTGAACATCAACTGTTCAAATAACTTCAATATAAAATACAGAAAAGCCTGTAAAGACTCCTTAAAATTTTGGCCGTTTGAAGAGACAATGCGATCTATTACTTTGACCCTCTCGTTCCAACCATTGTCCATATTTTAGATATGGTTCTTACTCTTCAAAGAATACATACAGTTTATCAGATGTCAGTGACATAATTCGGTACGCAAAACTTCGAGGGATTCGCGTCATTCTCGAAATAGACGCTCCATCCCATTCCGGAAATGGCTGGCAATGGGGTCGAGAAGCAGGACTTGGTGATCTAGCTGTTTGTGTCAATCAGGAACCGTGGAGGTCGTATTGCATCCAACCACCTTGCGGACAACTTAATCCAATTAATTCTAATGTTTACTCAGTCTTGGGCGACCTTTACTCTGATATCGTCGATATTTTACCAAAGGGAGAAACCTTTCACATGGGCGGCGACGAGGTAAATAAATATTTTAGATAATAATTGGGACGGTCAAAACTGTTTTCTTCTTTCTTGTTTCCACTTGGAAGTGTAGTCATTCGGTGCAGCGGTTAGAGGTGCCCGGTTGGAATTATATCTTTAATTGCTTTGCTTTCCTAAATTCCTGAGAATGTTGAATTTTCTTTAAAGTCCTTTTTCTTTATTAGTGTCCGCTGCAATTCCAACCTGACATCTCTTTTCTAAGTTTATACTACAATATTCTCTACGTATCGTCTGTCGTGAGTAAAAGTAGCCGTTCTGTCAGTAACCGCTCTAGTCTAGTTACTGTTCGTTGCAAGAAGTTGGAGATATGCCCCTTCCCTTTATTAGGATGCGCCGTAAAATAATTCCAAATTCAATCATATTTGTCTGCGTAGCTCACTTCTCCACCGATCATCGAGCGAGAACTAGACAAAAGTGTACAGTACAATTTGCAAAATTATTTAAACTGCCTCGATAAAATTTAAAAATATGCTTTATTTAAAAGCATATTTAGCCAAAAATAATAACAAGTGAATTAACTTAACGTTCTACACACCTATAAAACTTTTGCTTTGTTTTCTATTGTTAATTTATATACATTTTTGTTTTAAGAAATTGCTAAACATTTTCGTCNCACACATTGTCAGGGGGAACAGAAAATAACATGAGGGGATCCTTAGTTCCATCGCCTGCCACTAATTCAACCCCAATCATTAGGCCTTTACCTCGGACATCTCCAACAATTGAAAATTCAGATCTCAATTTTTCTAATTGTAAAAGTAAATACGTTCCGACAATTCTGCTATTCTCTTGAAGTTTTTCATCTTCAATAATCTAAAAAAGAGTGCAGAACGATTGGTCACACAGCTCACACTAGCGCAACGAAAAACACCCCATAAGAATACATTTTTTTATGTTCATATAGACGAGTATATAAACAGTAGGTAAAATAAATACAGATTGTAATGTTTTAATCGTTTACTACAAAAAAAATAATATTTAAATTAAGAGATTAACTTCTTAGATTTCTTGTGAATACTTCGAAGAATTGTACCCCTAAATTGTCAAAGAGACCTATATCTACCCCTAGACGTCGATTCCGAAATGCAAGGGGGGCAGGTCGAAATTTTTGCAAGAAAATGTACAGTTTGTAATGTTGTAATCGTTTACTACAAGAAAAAATACCTAAATTAAAACATTAACTTCTTGGATATGTTGTGAATATTTCGAATAATTATACCCCTAGATTCTCACAGTGGCCTGTATCGACCCCTAGGAGTTGATTCCAAAATTCAAGGGTCCCAGGTCAATGAAAACTAAAATTAGGGGTAATTGAGATGTAAATAGGGGCCGACGACACGGATCCTATTTAAAGAGGTCGTGATCGAAATTTTTACACAAAAATATACATTAACTTCTTGGATATATTGTGAATATTTCGAATAATTATACCCCTAGATTCTCACAGTGGCCTGTATCGACCCTTAGGAGTTGATTCCGAAATTCAAAGGCCGCAGGTTAGTGAAAACTAAAATTAGGTGTAATTGAGATGTAAATAGGGGCCCATGACATGGATCCTATTTAAGGAGGTCGTGATCGAAATTTTTATACAAAAATGTACATTAACTTCTTGGATATATTGTGAATATTTCGAATAATTATACCCCTAGATTCTCACAGTGTCCTATATCGACCCCTAGGTGTCGATTCCGAAATGCAAGGGGCCCAGGTCAGGGAAAACTAAAATTGGGGTTGATTGAAATGTAAATAGGGGCGACAAATTAGAAGAAGTCACCGATTTTCGCTATCTAGGAAGTCAGATAAGTCAGGACGGAAGGAATAGTAAGAATATAAAGCAGAGGATAGCACAGGGTCCAGTCGTCTGGAATAAAAATAAGTCACTTCTATGCTCGCGAACGAATTTATAATAATTTTTAAAATATAATCATTTACAAAGATGAAGAATCACGTGTTGAAGATTTGCCTTAATCCAAAGAAAATTCAGTCAAAAACTCAATTGAAGTTGAATTTATAATAGTTCAATATTAAAAATATGAAGGTGTACCAGAGTGTATCAACCCCCGCCCTGCCTTAACAAGACCATTGAATTAATTAATGTTTCCATCAATTCTTACTTACTTCACATTTTGCTTACTACAACATGTCCTGCATTAACTTAATGATGAACTTGACGTTTGCTATTTTTATGAAAGGTTTTTATACCCTGTTGGAATTCTACTCTGGAAATTGTAAACTATTTGGATAGTCAGGGCCAGGATCGGTCCCACGAATCCTTCCTGGCTTTATGGAGCTATTTCCAACAGGAAGCGTTAAAGAAATTCGATTCAAAAGTTGGAAATGAAAACACACCTATCGTCCTTTGGTCCAGTGCTTTGACTGAACCAGAAATAATCGAAAAATACTTATCCAAAAACAGGTGAATGTAAAACTATACATTTTGCTTTAGAAACATAAGTTCTTTTACACCAAAATTTTATGGGATTCTGAATAACAGTGTCCAAAAAAATGAAATGGAAAGAATATCTATCCAAATAATTCTTCTCCACAGATATATAATTGAAACATGGGTACCATCCGACAATGACCTGCCCACTAAATTAGTGGAGAGAGGGTACAATATAATAGTGGCGACCAAAGACGCTTGGTACCTCGACCATGGGTTTTGGGGTACGACTGAGTATCACAATTGGAGAAAGGTCTATCAAAATCGAATTTTAAATAGTCCAAGTGTGCTAGGTGGTGAAGCATGCATGTGGGGTGAATACGTCGATGACACGTCCATCGATTCGAAGGTTTGGCCGCGGGCTGCAGCCATGGCTGAGAGATTATGGTCGGATCCAAGTTCGTCCACTTCGGCAGCCGAAGCCAGATTTTATAGACACAGAGAAAGACTGGTTGCCAGGGGAATACAGGCGGATGCCGTGACCCCACGATGGTGCTATCAAAATGAGGGAATGTGTTCGTAATAGATATAAGTAAGAAAAACGATAAGGTATTTAAAGTATTTTTTTAATGTTAAAAAGTACAAAGTAGGGCCCAAAAATTCTCCAAAAAAAGTGTAGTATACATACCTAAGCGTTTCTTCACCAAAAATAGGTTTCGTCAGTTCTTCCATCCAAAATCAGCCATCCAGAGTGCGCTTCATAGAGATAATAGACGAGACACAGAAAATAAAAATACATCTTCCGTCTCCTTTTCTTTTGCGCACAAACAGTTGATAGTAAACTGTGCCGACCAATTAAAAGCCTTAGTATAAAATACTCTTTTAAATGTGCATGCAAGAAAAGTAAATCTCTATTTTCCACTCATCAATACCACTAGTAACAGGGTTGCATAGGAGAATTATATCATCTCTATGAAGCGCTTTTCTTCACAAATTGAAGTGGGCTTCGTTTTAATCCATTGTCGTAGCTATTCACTTAATTTTTGCGTCACTGATTCGTTGTTCTAATTGTTGATTACTTGTCAAAAAATCAACAATTGAAAGTTACGATGGTCAACCAATCAGAGCGCGCTTTCATTGTTAAAATTAAAGTAGGCTTTTGTTTTAATAGCTAAGACAACAAAGAAGATGCGCTTTGATTGGTTAATTACCCACTCGTTTAATAAAATCTGAAAAAAAAATAAGTGATAGACTTTTATAAAGAGCCGGGTAGTACTACACCTCTGTTGTAAAATATTCCAGTATTTTATTTCACAGTCAATAGATATTCCACATTCCATATTAAATCCTCTTAGTTTATACATTTTTTACAGTATACCGCAATAGTACTTACAGAACGAAAGAAACGATGCTCCAGTAAATTTTAATTTTTATGTTTCCATTTAAGAAGATCAATTTTATTAAATTATTAGTAAAGATGTGTCTATCATAATCGTTTATTCTAAGAATAAACAATTATAACGCTTTATTACGAAAAAAACTTTACACGCCTATCCTATGCTTTAAATTTTTATATGATGGTACATTTATTACTTATATATGATATAATTTTTTTCCATTTAAAATGTATAGTGTGGATTTTGTTGTTCCGGAAAAATATAAGTGCATCGTCTAGTCAAAAATAAATGCGTAACCACTTTTTTTTTTTATTAAGAAATAGTTCCCCTACTTACCTTATCTACCTTCCAACGCTTTCTAAAAGCTCATTCTCCATTAAATATAAAACTTTGTAAAGATGTCTCTGACATTCACAACCTCGAAAGAAATTAGCCGATCAAGTATTACGTATCTAATAACTCGGTTTGCGGAAGGGAATATTGTAAAACATTACGTTACATACATGACATAAAGGGGGGAGGGAGAGGACAGTAGATGGGGGGCAAGCAACGCACTGCTAAAATTAAAAAACATGGGTGTGTTTGTGTTTTCCAGTACTTTATGTGACATGGTTACATGTGAGCTTAGAGTGTGAAGGAATGGGGGGGGGGGGAATGATGGTAATGATTTTTAAAAACTGCGTTACGTTATGTTTGAATTGCCGAAATTGGTTGTTAAGCTCGGTAAGTACAATTATATATGTAATATAATATTATATTTACATATTCAGGGTGTTCCAGCATAAAAGTTAATTTATTTCAAGAAAACTACACTTAATAATAACGAAACATAAAGGTCAAATTGTAAAAGGCTTGGAAAATACAGTAAGAGTATAATTTAAAAAAGTTCGTCCCGATAAATTTCTTGAAGCCGGTCCTGTAATTAGATGCATATGATGTACATTAAGGTGATCAAAATTTCTTTTTCTTCCAACCAAATGTAATGTAGTAGACCATTGAATATGCCTTGCATTAAAGGGTTGAACACCTAATAATCCCTAATGTGCTACTAAATTAAGGGGTGAGTTTTTGTGAGCCGACCGAAACTGCCCCCTTTTCTTTTTTTTTTTTAAATAAGTTGAAAACAAAGTAAAATTCCAGACATACACTTTTTTATAGAAAAATAAATTTTCCTTCAAAAAGTGTTTTTTCTTTGCTTTTCTGCGTAATTTGACGTTTTATTGTAAAGTCGATTTTATTCATAATGAAAAGCGATTGTTAAACTATGAAAGCAAATTAACTAACGAAGTATTGTCTTGACGAAAAAAAATAAAGCAAAATTTATACGCTGTCTTGCTGCTATAAATTCGCCCTTCCTCCAACGTACAAATTGATCTTTTAGCAAAAAAATCGGTTGTCTGTACAGTCGGTTTACTGACGATAGTTGAACGTGACAACGTCATAAGAAAATACTGATGGAGTGGTTTCATTCTTCAAAAGAAAATTTTAATTTTATTTGTTTGATAGATATTTTATATGGATATAGAGAAGGAGGTCAATGGAAATGTATTATTGTATAGCAGCTGTCCACGCGGACGCATCGCTCACTCAAGTAGGAGAGAGACAGATGTCGAACGCTGCCGAACGCGGAGCCCGATTGTCCCTCTTTGTCGCTCGTTCCGCGCTCACGCTTGCACTTCAAGCCTTAAATGGAACGCCTCAGAGCGAGATAACGCCGCATGAGTCATGTTTTTTCGTGCGTGCAGCCGGCTCTATCGAATTATAAGACGTTGTCACGTCAAAANTATGGTTTATTTTTTCTTCTTGCAAACTTAATTGTAGAATATACCTGAGTGATTGAAACAAAAATTACTATAAGGGACTTTTTTTGTTCTGAAACATAAAGGTTGCCTAATTTGAGATAGGAACGGTACCCTAAAATTGGGTAACTCAAGTAAATGTCCGTTAGCGATAGAACATTGTCTGGTGATGGCAAAAATAAAGTTTACGTGTGTGACCTTTGCGTTGAATGATTCCCAATTTTGGATAGGGTGTCCATCTTAAAATTTGAAAAAATACCTTTTTATACTATTGACTACTTTTTATCCCTCTATGATCGAAATAGGGTAAATATTCTAGGTGTAAGAAAAAGTATCCAAAATTAGACGACTTTCCTCTATATTTAAGGATTTAAGGATTCAAGCACACCCACATGCTATGGTAATAGGAAAAAAATGCGTTATTTATTTACTATCAGATGTGAAATAGTGTACTAATACAACACCACAAATAGATAAATAAAAAAAAAATATTAAAATGATTTATACAGATATAGATTTTTGCAACTTTTACTGAGAAAATAAAATGATAGGGGTTGCTTTAATAACCTACGTAATGATACCCAATAAGATAAGAGGTGGAGAAAGAGGGGAGTAGGGAGGTATTTCTCCCGAAGTGGAGAAATCTGGAAATCTAAACATATTTTTAAAAATCAATTTCTGTAAATATTCGTCAAGTCGCCTTCAACAAGAAAATATCACTTCTATGTTTGCGAGTGGTTAATTTAGAAATTCAAAAAAAATTGTTAGAGGTGTATCTCTGGAGCGCGGCGCTGTACGAGTGCGAAACATGGACAGTGACAGTGGACGCAGCGAAAAAATAAAAGGTCGGAAGCGTTGGAAATGCGACATTACAAGCGAATTATCAGGATAGAAAAAATTAGAAATAAAGAGGTATTAGAAGGAATAGGAGAACAGAGAATAATAAGTCAAAAATTGTTTCTTTTTTGTTTCCACTCCTTTTTTACTACCTACCCTCTGTCGTCCAACCCCCTCCGTTACCCATCAACACGTAATTCCCACAACAATGATACCTTCCCTCCTTACCACCCACTTTTCCCCCAATCTCTTGTACCTACCACCATGCCGCAAGTTAGTAAAGTTAGCCCAAATAATATCTCTAAGCAAAATATAAAAACTGATTCTTTTTATTTGTATTTGTAAAGATTAGAAGCCAAAATAAAATTGTACATCTAATTTTAATGCACCGGGCCAGAGACATTAAAACTAAATTAAATTAAAAGTATTGTAAAAACAAATCTAGTGCAATAATTTATTTTTAGAACATATTGCTTAAAACTGATTCTATAAGTACGGCACTGACTCCAATAATTAAATGTTGGAGAATGAAACAAAATCAGGCACAATAATCGGTAAAAGTCCAAACTTCACAAAGTTTATGAACTGATACCGTGACAATTGTTTCTCCAAACTTTTGGTTCGAACAAATAAAATGTATGAAAACAGACAGTGTATCACCATCTAGTGGGCATTTGTTATTAGTATAGCATTTCATGTGTTAGACGAGTCCTTATTAGCGCGGCTTACGTGCACTAATGAGAGATTTGCGAGACGGTAGTCAACAGATTGAGATTAAGTTTATTTGCGAGACGTTTTATTGAATTATTTACATCCTATTTATAGTATTTACAACATTTACAAGTGTTTATATTTATGTGAAATGCACATTTAGCATTTTGATTCTCGTACTACAATGACCTATACTGGTGAACTTGCTCGAACGTTTGTGCATATACGGTATTTGTTTTTTTGCACACTATACTGGGTGTACCCACATTGACCTTGTCTAACATGAAATACTTCAGTAACAACAACCAGATATCGGTACAGTTTTACTTGGATATTATACAGGGTGGAATATTCTAATGAAATAAATTAAGTAATGAATAAGCGATGAATATTTGATTAAAGTCATTAGACACGTCGAATTTTAATTTTAATAGTTACGTGATTGTAAGTAATGACGTCACGGTATGTCCTTGGATTCATCCTTTTAAAAGAGGTTCAATACTTTTGAAACAATTGAATTTTTAGTAACAAACATGTCAAAATTGAACTTAAAAAGAGTAACTAAAAAAATGTGTAACTGAAAACATGGTGTTTACACTAACTATTCAAAATGTTCATTAATTGGCACTGATTAAATCGATTGTGAAAATGGCGTCTGACACCCTTCGGCATCATAAGAAAAATTCTGTGTTCTTCAATCAAATTAAAATGTTTTCGGTTTTGACATTTTTGTTACTAAAAATTCAATTGTTTTTCGGCCAACTTAACATTTGCAAAACTTTTCTGAATATCTAAAAAAGATATCGAAAAAAGACAAAACGTAGTCAATTTCTTTTAAAAAAAAATAGTATGACGTCGTTACTCATAGTCACGTGACTGTGGGGTGATGAATTAGGAGATTCACTGCTTGTGGCGTNGTAATAGTACATAGGTACTACTAATGTTTATTTGAATTTCTTAATAGTCTTAAAAGAAGTCGCAAATTTGTTAGATATCTTTGTCTTTATCAATTTTTTTTAATTTTTGATAAACAATTTTAAAACTGTAAACTTATTTAAATCACTTTTTGCATTTTTCAAGTATCATCATTAAAATTAATTCCACAAAGACGAGGGCCTCGCAAAAATTAACCCGCCCGGAACCTTCCAATGACTAAGGCCGCCCCTGATAATTGAACCATTTTAACATACATGCTTACCTACCCACTTATCTAACATCTATAAACAAACGGTAAAATTCACCACAAACACAACAAAACATAACAAAGCTCTTTGTGTCTTCGGTGGCCGACTCTGGCCGCTACATCTGCATAAGATTACTAGAGATTTGTTACAAATGATTCACTAAAAACAGTTACTACACCCGAACGTGGCGTTACATCCGAAGTCGCTACAGCCAGCTTTAAATTCAAGCAAAATGGCCGCCATAACGAAGTTCGTAATAAATGAAATCCACTGTATTTTTACCTTTAGTGGTGAGTCTGAGCCTGCTCACCACAATTTGTTATATTACGTTATTAAAAATTGTATATACGAATTTCCCCTTTAAAAGTGTAATAATCAGAAAAACTCATTTAAACTAAAACCTAACCTAACTAAAAGTTCAGACCAGCAATTTAACGAAAAAGTACCGATTCCTATGATAAACTTTTTTCGCTATAAGTATTGTAGGGAAAACACTTATAAGAAAAACTTTTGGTAAGAAAACAGGAGAATAAAAGGAAATTCATTATGTAATTCAACATGTAAAAATATTTTCGTAAAAAGCAGATTTCCGTAAATAAAATAAACGTTAATAGTTTTTTAATAGCTCATGGTGTTGACGCTAAACCAATTGTTCTAAATTCCATGTACATATATATTTCAAAGGTAGCAATTTTAAAGTTAGTACTAATAATAATTTTAAGTGTGGAAACTATAGGTACTTCTCTTTTTAATCTGGCGACATTGGGGTCGAAACTAATCACTTAAAAATATTATATATGTCAATTGTATAATTTAAAATTCTCGTGGCAATGTTGAAATTATGTTTTTTAAAAAGGAATCAATATTATTGATATTATTATATTTCCTAAAGTAAGTTATGTTTATTAGATAAAGTTAGTTAATTAGATTAGTTAATCAACTTCAAAAAAAAAATATTTGTTTTAAAATATGAAAAAAAAATAAACAATTCTGGGGTAAACGTTTGTTAATTAAAATATATAATCTGACACCAACGTTTCGCTACACGATTTAAAAGTATAAATATAATAAATAATTAAAATATGCCACGTGTAACAGATAAATTTTACACTAAAAAACAATTTTACAGTGGAAGATAACTTTATATGTACCTACCTCAAGGTGACAAGTTGTTTTTTTAATAATAACATAAAGAAAACGCAATACTATTGGGACATTTAAGTTAGATTAAATAAAATTAAGACGAAACGTTGGTGTTAGATTATACATTTCCATCTTCACCCCAAAATTGCCTATTTTTTATTAATTTAACATTGATATTTTTGGGGAAAAATTAGTAACTGAATTTTAATTTTTAACTTACATTTCCATGAATTCCACCTCTCCCAACAATAAGACCTAATTCCCTGCAATAGTCCCAAAATTTCATAAATTTGGGGACTGGTAG